ACTCCAAATTTAAATATTAGCAAAAAAAGTCCATCTCCCCCCCCCCCAACCATCCCCCCCCACCCACCAATCTCCTCCATGCTCCTTCCTCCTCTACCCTCTCCCATCATCTGCCCCCAGATCCGCAACCTTCACCTCCCTCCAACCTTATCCCTCTTCTCAATCTCTCTCTCCTCTCCCTCTCCTCCACCACTTACCTCCTCGTCTCCCTTGCTTTCTCCCCTCTCTCCCCTCAAACATTTACTATAAGCACAGGAGGGAATGAAGCAAGGGGAGGAGATAGGGGAGGAGGAAGAAGTGAAGGAAAGTGCGGGCATGAATGGAGAGAGGATAGAGGTTGAGAAGATGTGTAAGGTTGGAGAAGGAGGGAGAGGAGGTCAGGGTGATGATCTTGGGGAGAACGAAAAGGGAAAGGGGAGAGGAGGTGAAGGTGAGGATCTGAGGGCGAAGGAAAAGGGAGGGAAGGGGAGGAGAGGAGGATGGATGAGATGGTTGGGTTTTTTTTTTTTTTTTGCAAATATTTGAATTCGGTGAGCAAATCTATAGGCGTCAGATAGATTTGAGGGATATATATGATAACAATCCTTAATTTTGTCACTCAAATCAAAACTTCAGAGACCAGAAATGTCTTGTTCGTTAAATGTGGCACTTTTTAGGTCTTGTATCCCCCGCGTCAGTTTTTAGACCTTATTGGTAAAGGGGTCACTTTATAGATCAATCTGTTAACTTAGCCTTGTAGTGACAAAAAGATCCTTCATGATATCAAAGATAAAGATTGGCTAAACTTTGGGGTTATTTAAAGTACAAATAACCCTAAATGATATGCCAAAGAAAATTCACCGAACGAACTAGTTTACTCTAAACGTGGCAAAAGGCATCGATTCAGTTGCTTATCTACTTACCTTTTGATCATCATACAATTACAACCGCAGATCCACAGATATTTAAATCTCACAGACTTATATGCAATCTAATAGGATATAATTCCTCGATAATTAAAAAGCATTAAAGTTCGACAATGTGTAGATGTATTCCTATGAATAGCTAAGTACAGTTAATGCCAAAATCAGCACATGTTTTCCAAATACTGTAACAAAAGAGAAAACTAATTTTAAATTATATCCTAGTTATCATCGCAAGCATTTGAGAAAAGAAAAATCAGTTGGAGTGAGAAACTCGGATCTAGAAGTCAAAAATCATAAAACAAGATGAGTAGAACGCGGATCTAAAGTTAATACCTGAACGA